GTTGGTTAAATATATTAGTTAAATCTAAGCGGGTTGGTTAAATATTTTCATAAAATTTTATATTATACTTTATTGATAGAAAAAGGTTTAAGACATACCACATCGGCTAAATATTTTGGACAACCGTTTTAAACCATTATAAACATGACCAGTATGCTTCTAACTATGAATGAGCATGAAGTTTAAGTTATAGGGCTTTCAATTTTAAAATTTTTGTTTGGATTAGTAAAGTTATTTATTTGAGCATATAAATTTTAAAAAGTTTCAAAATATTATAATTTTTAAAAGTTTTCAAAGTTTAAAATATAAAATATTCAAATTAAAACCAAATTATAGAATATTTAAAATATTAGAAACGGGTCAGAATATTTTTGCAACGGGTCATAACATGATACACATATCTTAAGTTTTACAATTCAATACTTTGTAATAACAAGAATAAATAATATGCAAAATTGTTCATTTTACGGGTCTTAAAGAACATAATTAAATCAAATTTTAACAATAATACATACAAAATCTTATTAACAACATATATTATTCAAATATTGATTAAATCGAATTTATAAATATGAATAAATTTTACTGATAAACTATATTAAGTAGTTTGCTATATCAATCACGGTACTTCACAGGTTATTTTGTTAAACTCAAAACTATATAATAAAGCGAGTAATCAATAATATTTTTACGAATGTAATCCATTACAGATTGGTTATTCAAAACATATATGCGTTACAGATATGTATGATTCACTATAATCAACTCCATTTATTTAACACAGCTTCATGCACATATTCGCTACTGTTTTTGGATAATAGTCAATACAAACTTATTACAAAAATTAGTTACGAAAATAACAAATTCATAATATACAAATGATATATTTGTATCACTTAGTAAATTAAAACATATGAATAATAACTCGATAACTTTCCTCCGCGCTGTAGCGAGGGTCCGATTCTAGTTATAATATCTTTTGCATCAAATTTCTGTCTTTTTCTTTATAAAAAACAATAATTTAACTGTTTGTTATAAGAAAAGTATCCAAACAATTAATAATATATAGTTGCATTCCAATTATATGAACGATATTCTGTATCTAAACAATCTTTTCATATTAAAAACATTAGATAACTATTATAATATGTACTTACGTACTATCAATTTCCAAATTAACAATTACATTCAAATTATGCAACCATCTACAGTTATCTAACATACTTAAACCAAAATTATATACTACAACTATAACTTTCTATTAAATATTTTATTAAATAAATTGTTCCATGATGTATTTTTAATAACACCGCATATAATGATTTTCAAATAAAAAAACATTAAAAAAATTATAAACATTAATCTTATAAAAATGCAAAATATGACGGGATAGGGTTATATGGTGGGATATGTTCGAATCGATATCATAAAAATTTAAAATATTTTAATTCAGTATTACAATACTGGTAAATCATTCCATCCGATTACACTTTTTATAAGATTACGGCACATACATCCAATAACGCATACTATTCATTATTGCAAAAACACCAAAAACTGTAAAATCTATAATAATACTCAATCTTTTTTTAAGAAACTCAATTTATAATACAAATTTATAAAAATTATAAATATAAGCAAATTAAAAAACAAAAATGGACCTGTGGTGTACCACGGGGTAAATCCTAGTTTTTTGTTAATTTGAAAATCCATGGTTATATTTCAAAGTCTTTCCTAATGGATGCATTACCATAATACCATTGTTGTTACTGAGAATGTTTTTATTTTTTGAGCATTTAACAACATGTCTTTAGATATATTCTTAAATAATCAATGTATGTCCTTTTAATAGAGAAACATAAATTTCATTGCGGTGCCGGTGTGGTGACTCGACATGGATTTTACGCCAGATAAAGGATTGACGACCTATTTCCCCCCGATAACTATTATATCGTATTAGAACTACACAGAACTTTAATCTCGTCTTCAAGCTACCCGAATCGATAGTTATATTCCTATTTCTCCCCAAATCGATAGTTCTCATCTAATTTTCCAATTTTCTGGGTTTGAACGGGTTACGAACCAAACCCAATTAAAACCAACGTAATCCTGGTATAAAACCAAATTTTAAACCCGACTCGACCCTTTAAATGATCCGATCCAATATTGTCTTCTTCACCCGGTTCTTCAAGCAACAAATCCAACTTCTACATAATCAAAAATTGATTTAATTCGATTTAAGACCAGCTTCGATAAAATCGATTGTGAAGTTGTTGTCAAAGAAGAAGAATAACATAGGACTCGATTTAGCGGCAGCTTTCTCTGCTTTCACGTTATCCAAATCAATCGAATCCATTGAGAGAGATATAAGGATTGGAGAAAAAAGGGAAAGAGATGAAGAACAAAATGGAGCAAACTTCTTCTCTCACATCTCCGACGATTCTTCATCTCTCATCTCCGAAAAGCTTCGACGGCCGCTACTCCTTTCTCCATCATCTTTTGTCTCATGATCAAGCTTTGGGACCGTTAAACTCTCACCATCTGTTTCTTCTTCTTCAGCTTTGTCATTCTCCTTCTTTATCGTTGATTAGTGGTGGTGGAGATGATGGTGAGATTGAACAAGGCGCCCCATAGATCCCAATCTCTAAGCACTTTCCCAGGATCCTTCAATTAGGAAATACCACAAGCTTCAATCGCCTGGGAGTCACTAAATGGAGAAGAAGAAGTTGTAATTGAAGGATGAAGATCCAGTTTTTTCTTCTTTTTTTTCCGTCTGGGAGTCACTAAATGGAGAAGAAGAAGGAGGAAGGAAGTGATCTTCTTCGTCTTCTTCGTTTTAATTTTTAGGTTTTTTTTAAACATTAAATAAAAGGTTTAATCATGTTTGACTAAATTAAAATTGAAACCGGGTTGAGATAAAATTTAATTTGGTTAATAAGATTTGTTAATTGGTTAAGAAAATATTAAACCAACAGTAAACCAATTGTTAACCATATAAACCCAGATTTTTGGAAATGTAGGATGAGAAGTATGATATCGAGGGGGAAAATAGTGTAGAACTATCGATTTGGGGAGATATAGGAATAGAACTATCGATTCGGGTAGATTGAAGACGAGATTAAAGTTCTGTGTAGTTCTAATACGATTTGATAGTTATCGGGGGAAAATAGGTCGTCGATCTCCAGATAAAGCTCAAGTCTTCTCAACACAACAAAAAGCTTAAGCCATGACATAAATTATGTACGGTTAGTCGTCAACTTCTTCATGTCTTAAAAGGCTTATATATTAGGACATATGGTTTTCCATCCTGATCTTTTTAGACAATGTTACATAACTCTGTCTTTTTAGATAGTCGTTACATATTTAGTTCTGGCCGGGATTACTTATACAATAGAAATTATAAAAACTTAAATTTGTAGGTGTAAAATATATAGATTTATTTTGTAAAAAAGCCCTAAAATATGTAAAAATAGGTCCTAAATAGCTGTAAAAAATTGTAAAAACAAAAAGGTCTCTGTGCAAATGCACTTGTTGCACATGTGAATCGTCGGGCATGATTACACCGTATATATCATATCAGACATACGAATTATAGTGAGCGACTTTCCCGTACGTACGGGTTAAATACTAGCTTTGATATATTTCTGCAAACAAAAATTTATATTTAATATGATTCAATAAGAACAAATCATCATCATATATTTCAAGATTTGTAGAAATCTCTTTAGCTAAACAATAGCTAAATTCTTATTACAATATAGATCAAAGCAAAAAATCACTAAACATATATTATTTAGTTGGCAAGGTAAAAAAAATAAAAATCTCATTTTCCAAATTCAAAGATGGTATTAGGCCCGTCTGAGATGATACAAAGATTAACGCCTATCTAACACCTGTTAGTTGTTCCGTTATCAGACTTACGATATGTTGTTTTTGGCTTGAACAACTTTGTTTCATGTTTTAATCGGTAAGTCAATGTCTATGTATGATTTAAATGGCTTGCCTGGAAGTTGATGGTTTAATTGGCCGAAATGACTCGGTTCATTTAACCTTTGTAAGCTTATAAAACTCTTTAAAAATCATAAAAAATCTTTTAAAAGCCTATTCAAAACCCTTGTGAATCCTTTAAAAGACCTTTCAATTTTTTTTGTAAACCCTTTTAAAAAAAATTTAAATAAATTGGGCGGGAATTTTTTTGTGGAAATGTTTTTGTCGGAAATTTTTTTTGGGGGGGAAATTTTGGAAGGAATATTTCATCCAAAAAAAGAATATTCTTTCAACTAAGAGTAAAATGGTCATTAAAATTTAAGAGGGGGAAAAAATAAAAATGGCAAAAAGAGGTTAATTTTGCAAAAGGGTATGATAAAAATTTTATTTGAGAGATTTTCTCTTAAATTATTGGAAGTGTGATAATTTTTTAGAAAAAGTTGTGCTACAATCTAAACTATATTACTATTACCGATAGCATTTTTTCAACTACTGATAACATTGTAACAACATTTCTTTTAGGATATTTAAAATTCATTTATTTAGTTTAATTCTTTTCTATTTAATTAATTTTCTATTAATTATGAGTACATAATATGCACTAAATAAACATTTTAAATATATTTAATTTAAAAAATTTGATGAGGTAGATGTGGATGTGGATAGCCTAAATATAAAATTTCATCTTAACTATATTATGTTTCTAAGTGTAACTATTTAATGGTAACTATTTTAACCGTATATATAATGGTTACAATTAAGGTTAAAGAAAATTATAACTATTAACCGATGGTTAATCAATTATAACCGTGTTAACCGTAACCGTGATCATACGTAATTTTTTTAATTTGGACTCTTTTATTAATTCGTATGTTTTGTTAGGCCTAATTATTTATTAATTGGGTTAGAAATATTTAATATCGAAAGCCCACTAATGGCTTAAAGAAACAAAAGGTAAAAATAAGAAATGTTGTTGTTGATGTAATATATATAATAAAAGTAATAAAGGAAAATTGGATTTATTTTATCGCCGCAGTGGTTCATAAGAAAATATCTAGGTTAAGAAGACGATGGCTGGCGACGGCGATTCATTACGGTCCGATGAGACGGCGATTGAATATCCAGTGCAGAAGAAGCCAAAGATAGAGGAAGCCAAAGCCACTGATGATGCGGAGGCGAAGGAAGAGGAAAAAGAAGAAGAAGAAGAGAGAGTGCCTAGTCATTTAATTCCCTTCAATTTCCGCGGAAAGCTAATCTACGATGGCCTATTCTTGGACGAACCCGAATGTAATAGACAGCGAGATCTCTTTTACAAACAATTTGAAGAGTCTGAGGTTATCTCCATAATACCCTAACCTAAATCTCAGTTATGTAAGATGCCTCTGTCTAGAAATATTTTGTATGTGAATTATTGCATCTCTTTGTGCGATATCTATTTGGGCGTGATTTGTAGAGGAGGGTGGGGAAATCAGATATTGAATTCGTCATAGGGACTTAGACTAGAGAGCAGCCTTGTTGTTTTCTCTGTTTGATCCACAATTTCCTGAACTAGATCTTTTCTTTTTCTTTCTTACCCCTATTTGCTGGTTATTGATCTTACTTGTCTTGTTTTTGTATGCATCTTATCATAAGTTTCTCTTTTTGTACTTTCAATATCGTTTGTTGTTCAATCTTTAGGGTTTTGATGTGGACTGGGACAGCTTTGACTACACTTTTAATGTTATAAACTACGATTGGGATCCAGATGTTGATTGTAAACGAACCAATAAAGAGCTGATCGAACTGCTCATACACTTAGCCATTAAAGAACACGATGAAGAATATGTACGTTCGTTGAGAGCTTGGTCTTAATCCCTCTTAGCTTAGTCGTTTGTTCTCTATTCTCCTACTTATCTTGTTTTTGTGTGTTTTGTTTTCTCTCTCTGCAGGGAACACAACTTAAGTTTGTCGAATACGTCAGTGCACTTCTAATACCCTGCAAAGGTTATAATTTTCATATTACATTTTTGGCCATTGATCTTAACTCATCAATTCAAGAGCCAAAATCTTACCAAGCAAAGGTCTACAAGTTTCGCGAAGAGATATTTGTTAAAATGGTCAGGGTCAAACCTACACAATCATGAAGTTTACCAGAGGTATACTGCTCTTCGATCTGCTTTTCTTGTTGTAACCTTGTGTTGCTTCTTGTTTAGTCTAAGTTGTAACCTTTGCTGCATACAGGTCATTCTGATCGAGACAGCTTCAAGCTGCAATCACTCTTCCTTTTGTTCCAAAAATTGTTGGTGGGATGTTAAAGACTTTTTTTTTTCTTTCATTCAGTTGTGTTGTGTACTTTATTGTAATCCAGTGTCTCCGGACATATTGCCTTAGATCAAATCTATGACCTTACTTTGTTGGTCCTCTTTATTAGTGTGATGATACTGAGTACAGTTTTATCATAGTTTTTTGTCTATTTTTCTTAAGATTTAAACGATCAACATCCAATATATAGTAAAAGAGAAGTACATTTTTTCTTCAAAAAAAAATATATGTAAAATTACGAAAAACCTAAGGTATTTCATACCCTTTGGTGTATCATTAAGGGTAATATTGTATATTCTTCCGAGTCGGATCGGGTCAATTTCAGAAATATAACCCGAAATTCAGAGATGGATATTAGCCACATTTAATCGTTTCAAACACACGCTTCTTACTCTTTTTTGCTGATGGGCTGCGATAATTAACGGGCTTCGAAAACATGTATGGCTTGTCATATCAATTTGCACGTAAAGCATCTTCTTTTTTGGAAATATTCAGCATTTGGAAAAAATAATAATATTGTTTCACATTCTAACTAAACAAAAAATCTGTGAACGGGAGTTTGAATATATTTTCCACTAACAACTTTATAAATATATTTAATACCCATCTACATATAAACCGTAATATCTGCTTTACCTTGGTTCACTTTGATTCTATACAATATTGAGATTTTATATCAAAATATCCTTTATTATTTGTTAAATAATTTACCTAAATGATATTATACGCGGTTTTAAAATTTAATATAATAAAACCATTAGATTTAGAGGTTGAGTATGCTCATATTTTACCTAAAATCTGATCGTACATATAAGTATACGATCAGTTGAGTAGACTCATATTTTACCTAAATGATATCCAAACTTTAGTAACAGAGTAAAAACTCATTTAAAAAAACAAATATTACTCAATTGACATATAAAATATTATTATAAACTTAAAACTTTATTAAAACAAAGTTTGGATATCTAAAACGAGTTGGTTAAATATTTTGGTTAAATCTAAACGGGTTGGTCAAATATTTTCATAAAATTTTATATTATACTTTATTGATAAAAAAGGTGTAAGACATACCACATCGGTTAAATATTTTGGAAAATGAATTTAAATCATTATAAACATGACCAGTATACTTCTAATTATGAATGATCATGAAGTGTAACTTATAGGGGTTTCGATTTTAAAAATTTTGTTCGGATTAATGAAGTCATTTATTTGAGCATATAAAAATTTAAAAAGTTTCAAAATTTTATAATTTTTATATGTTTTACAAGTTTAAAATATTTTAATATTAAAACTTTGAAAACATTCAAATATATTAAAAAATTATAGAACATTTAAAATATTAGAAATGATCAGAATGTTTTTGCAACGGGTCAGAACATGATACACACCACTTAAGTTTTAAAATTAAATACTTTTTAATACCAAAATATTACATAAATTATATACAAATTGTTCATTTTTACGGATCTTAAAGAACATAACTAAATCAAAGTTTAACAATGGTACATAAAAAGTTTTACTACCAAAATATACTATTCAAATATTGATTAAATCGAATTTACAATACAAATAAGTTTTAACGGTAAACTATATTATGTATCAACCTAAATAAATCACGGGTTAGTTTGTTAAACTCACAATCATATAGTAGAGCGAGTAATCAATGATTTTTTTCCGAATGTAATATGTTACATATTGGTCATTCGTAACATATATTCGTTACAGACATATGTATGATTCAACATAATCAACTTTATTTATTTAATACAGCTTCATGCACAAACCATACTTCCTACTATTTTTGAATAATATTCAATACAAACTTATTAAAATAATTAGCTACAAAAATAGCAAAATCATGATATAAAATTGATATATTTGTAAAGAAAAATAAATATTAAAAATACTTTTGTATCACTTATTAAATGAAAACATATTAATAACCAGATAATTTTCCTCCGCGCTGTAGCGCGGGTCCGATTCTAGTTAAAATATACAAAACCTCAATCAAATTCATGTTAATAGGTTATACGTGATTATGTTTCTACAATGAATGTCTTCAGATGATGTCAAAATAAAATAATAATTAATGTCTACAAACTTTGCTGGTATAATTGGAGAAAACCATATCAATAAACCGGAAAACCGATTAAACCAGACCAATTATGTATGAATCCATTTTTAATTATCTTCAATAACTGACAATGGTTACTCGTTGTCGTTGGCCTTGTGGATTCAAGTCTTCAATTTGTATTCCTCCTTCTTTTAACCAATCACTTAATAGATAGATTCTTTCGATGGAGAAAGAATACAAATCCTTCTTCTTTAATGTTTTCTTCGACTGGCCTTAATCTCTCTTTGTATGGGAGTTACGTACGTTTCTCTTCTTGTCTTAATTGTGATTTTCTTTTATGCCACATAAGGAACACTTCTTCTCATTTGTAACTGCCAAGACCCACAAAAGTACACCCTTCATTATTGGTTTATAGCTGTGCACCTTTTTATGTGGTTTATAATTTATTAGCTACTGTTGCTATATGCACATATACAAAACCAATAACATGAAGGATGTACATAAAGTAAGGTAGAAGCATTATCAATAGAATTATGATAGCATGTTACCACCACATTCAAATTAGACTATCCCTTTACATTAACTAGATTTAGCACAAAATGTAAAGTTGAAAATTATGGTCTTGCATGTATGTACCTAAGCTAGCTTCCTTCAAGGATACTCTTGACATAAATTGGCACTCAACACCTCAAACAATGAGATAGTAATGTGTAACTTTACGATTCCACTGATGATTAGAACAGTCGCACAACAACTGAGTTTTTTTGGGTTACTAGTTCTTTGGAGAGGGGCCAAAGATTTTAATAATTTTTATCGCCTCGCCATTGTTCAATACGAAAGGGTTTGGCTAATTGGCTACATACATATCTAGTCATATTAGTTGGTCCGAAACCTTAATTTCCTAGCAAATATTATATAGTGCATGTCTGCAAATTTTTTTAGAATTCTTTCCTTAAAATCTAATATTTTTCATAGTGGTGCATATCTACTAATATATAAAAAAATTTCTTAAAACTATTATTTTTTATCATCCTGAAATTAATTACATTCAACTTGTAGATAGGATCGTACGTAAAAAAAAAAGTAAAAAACAAAGAAAAGGAAACAAATACCAAGAAGAAGATTGAAGTATATCCTAATTAATAATATATCATCCTTTTTTTTTTGTCATCAATAATATATCATCCTGAAATTTAATTACATTCAACTTGTAGATAGGATCGTACGTAAAAAAAAAAGTAAAAAACAAAGAAACTGAGACAAATACCAAGAAGAAGATTGAAGTATATCCTAATTAATAATATATCATCCTTTTTTTTTTGTCATCAATAATATATCATCCTGAAATTTAATTACATTCAACTTGTAGATAGGATCGTACGTAAAAAAAAAAGTAAAAAACAAAGAAAAGGAAACAAATACCAAGAAGAAGATTGAAGTATATCCTAATAATATATCATCCTTTTTTTTCCTGAAATTTAATTACATTCAACTTGTAGATACTAGATAGGATCGAACGTAAAAAAAGTAAAAAACAAAGAAAAGGAAACAAAAATTAAAAAGAAGATTGAATCGTACAAAAATAGAAAAAACTCGTGGGAAACTAAGTAAGTTTTTTCTAAGGTCAGTGTATGAGGTCAGTGTATGATGTGGCGGAGAATCCCATAATCTTATCTTCTTACACAGATTAACCAATTGTAAGCAAAGAAAAAAAAAAAAAAAAAAAAATCTATATATTATTGCCTCTAAAAGTCTCACAGTGTCACCACACCAACGTAAACACAAAAAAAGCTTGAGTTGATATGTCTGGAACAGAACAAATCATGTCAACTAAGTTTAACGGCGTTGCCTCACCCACCACTGTCCGAGCTACCATCGTCCAAGCCTCCACCGTGTACAACGATACACCCGCCACTCTAGGTAAATAATTAATCAATCTTTTTGTAATGTTTTTGGTTATGTTAAATTTATGTAACGCTCTATGTACTTGGAGTTTGTAGAAAAGGCGAAGAAGTATATCGAAGAGGCCGCGAGCAATGGATCGGAACTGGTCGTGTTCCCGGAGGCGTTTATCGGAGGGTATCCTCGCGGTTTTAGGTTTGGTTTGGCTGTGGGAGTTTTTAACGAAGAAGGCCGTGACGAGTTCCGCAAGTACCATGCTTCAGCCATTCCAGTTCCTGGTATGAACTTCTTGAATACTTAACCTTTGACTAGCTTATTTTTTTTGTTTTGTGGGAAAAAGTCAAGTTTAAAATGTTTTTTTAATATGTATACATAACCTTTTCCAATAAACATATCTTTGATAAACGTCAATTTTTATGTTACACAAGTATTCAAAGTATATACACCACCCCGATTCTTAAGATCTACTCCTATATTGTCTAAAAATATACGAATATTCAGATCTTGATTTTAAGTTTCATGATCTGTGAAAACTTGGACATTGATTCATCCTCGATTCGTTATCCAACTAGCTAGTCCGTCTACAAAAAAAAAATGATATGAGAATTGGATTAATGTTATTATTTATTGATATGATACTCTTTACCTTTTGTTTTGGTTTTGTGATGAACCTGTAGGCCCTGAAGTAGAAAAACTGGCGGACATGGCAGGAAAAAACAACGTGTACTTGGTAATGGGAGCGATAGAGAAAGATGGGTATACACTCTATTGCACAGCTCTTTTCTTCAGTCCACAAGGTCAGTTCTTGGGTAAGCACCGTAAGCTCATGCCCACAACCTTGGAACGTTGCATATGGGGTCAAGGGGACGGATCAACCATCCCCGTTTACGACACTCCCATTGGCAAACTAGGTGCTGCTATTTGCTGGGAGAATAGGATGCCCCTTTACAGAACTGCATTGTATGCCAAAGGTCAGCTTTTAATTCAATGTAGTGCACCACACACACCTATGCTTTTAGTAAAAGATTCCTTACTTTTTTGATTTTTGGCTCTAGGCATTGAGATTTATTGTGCACCTACTGCTGATGGTTCGAAAGAATGGCAATCGTCCATGCTTCACATCGCGATCGAAGGTGGATGTTTCGTGTTGTCAGCTTGCCAATTCTGCCAGCGTAAAGATTTCCCTGAGCATCCTGATTACTTGTTTACTGACTTGGACGAAAACAAAGAACAAGATGCTATTGTCTCCCAAGGTGGAAGTGTCATTATTTCACCTTTGGGACAGGTTCTTGCTGGACCAAACTTTGAATCCGAGGGTCTCATCACAGCTGATCTTGGTAAAACACATATATACTCTTCTTTGGTTTTCATCTTAGGCTATAGAAAAGTATATGTTCTTGAGCTAAACATATCGATAATGTTCATTTTTTTTTCCATCCAGATCTTGGTGAGATAGCTAGGGCCAAGTTATACTTTGATGTGGTCGGACACTACACCAAACCAGATGTTCTCAGCTTGACCGTAAATGAGGACCCGAAGAAGACAGTTACATTTGTGTCAAAGGTGGAGAAAGCAGAGGATGCCTCAAACAAATAATCATATATTTTGGTACTCCTCAGTTGATATTAGTCACATGTAGGAGTCAAGTTCAACATGTTATGTTGAGTTTCAAAATTTATGACTAAAGTTTGTTTTTTTTTTCTTTTCTTTCAATAATTGAAGAGGACCAATTGGTAAGATCAATGTTTGAGAAACCAATCGGTTCTCTTCTCTTGTATTTCAAGATTGTGCTATTTTTAAGTTTGAGTGTTGTGTAGCCGTAATACCAACCATGTAGCCAATTGTGACAAAATAATAAGGCTTTGATTTCAGTTATGTTCTTCCTTTGTTTTGCTAACACATATCTTTACATTAAAAATGTATAATTAGTTGCTTGAGGGTAAAAAGAAAACAAAATGTATAATTAGTTGCTAGTATGGAAATGAACAGCTAGTGTATACAACTAGCTATTACACATACTACTCAACATGCAACATACTTAATAATCACACTCTAAAAATAAAAATCAACACAACCCTACGAAAATCTTTAAGCCTATACAATTCACCAAACGCGTTTTAGAAAATCGTAATCATCACTGACCAAAATATTCAACAATAGAACATCATATAATAATTATCTTGTTTATAAAGTGTATAAATTAACTACTATTAAACAAAATATCAAGGAAGCTCGACAACCTTTTTCTGATAGAAACCGAGTGTCACCTACTCATTATAACATCGTACACGACCAATTTTAATAATCTAAATAATCGAATTTGGCACGTTGATATATATATAACAAATAATATCATAAACAAAGCAAAGAATCACAAAGATGATCTATATAAATGGAGCTACACTGATCACTAAACCATGAAACAATCTGCTAAAACTCATTAGACATGGGACTTAAGACAAAGCAAAACCTCTCCTTTGGGTTCATCTTCGTCCTACTAGTTGGCTTTTTCGCAGTCTCTTACGCTTCTGTTCCTCGGAAACTAAATCCACATCAACGCATCGGTTTCTTGAAGCCTTTACCAAAGTTTTTTTAACTTCAAGCCTTTACAAAAACCCTTCCCCTTCATCAAGCCCTCACCAAAAGTCTTGCTCCCCAAGCCACTCCCAGTTAGTCCAAAACCAGTCAAACAACCACGACCACGACCACCAACTCCAGATTTCGATCCTCCACCTGATGTAGCCCCGCCTCCTCCCCCTCCTCCTCCAAACTTCTTCAAGCCTCGACCTCCACCGGATACTCTAAAGTCCATCACCGTCAAGCCTCTACCGGGTAGTCCAAAGCCGGTGATCATTGTCAAGCCCCCACCTATACTTCCTACAGTCCCCTAACCTTTGTTGTAGTCAAAGGCTTGATGTTCTCAAGATTTTCTAAGATTTGTGTGTGACAGTGTGAGTGTACAAGAATGTGAAATGATTTATGTTTAAGATCTCGAGATATAGGTTATAAAATATATATATGACTTAATTTGCTTTATGCTTTGCAAGTATATTTATGTATCTCTTGCTCTTTAATCTAAATTTTTTTATTAAAAGAAGAAAGTATATTTATGTAACCTTAAAAGAGTCTCTTATGTATGTTGAATCGTTGACCAAATATGTCTGACTGTTAAAGCAACAACATGAACTGGACTTTTCTATTGTTTTTCTTTCGACAAGTATTTGTATTATAAATTACAGAGTCAAATACATTGAAAGGTACATCATTCTTCATAAGCGCACCAACAAAACCCATTAACTAGCTCAATACTACCCATCATTCTTTAGCCTTTTAATAATTTAAGATTGTGGCCTTAAAACATTTAGAGACGGCTCTGCTGACAAATCTTACAACAAAGAATAAGATGATTGTAAATCCTTTAACAAAAAAAATGATTGTAAATCCGTAATTGGTCAGGCTTATCGTATCCGTTCCTGATTGGCTGATTGATCTTTAACTTGCATGCAAAGTCATAAAGCATTCTTGAAAAAGATATCGAATCTTTTTTGTTTTCTTGTGTGTCTTAACTCCGCGCTCCTATAAGAAATCACGAAACAGAGAGATCTTGGACGAGAAGGTATAATCACTTTTCATATATAGTTGATGTGCCAAGAACTGATATTACTATCTTATAAAGTGTTAGGGCTTTTTAGAGGGTGCTAGTTATAAAATAGGACCTCGTTGAGGCCCAAACCGTTATTGTAAGTTATAAACAAAGAATAGAGAAAACCAAATCGGGTCGTCGTCGCAACGTTGCGTCTCCGCAGAGCTGTCACAAAGGCTGAAAGGCAGCAGTAGTTATTGATTGGTTGAATTATTAGAGTAGTGATTAAGTATCTTTTAAGGACTCAAAAACTAGTAAGTCGTATTTAGACTATGAGCTGTTTGATACACACGTTTACATTCCCTATATGTATCAATATTGATTTAATATTATTTAAGATATCCCAAACTGATGATAATTACATGAAAGCACACTTTTACTTCATGGAGGGGGAAAAAACCCTCTTTGACGCGGACACCTAAATAAATTTGATTATGTTCAAGATTAACTATTTTAAGATTTCAATTCACATTGATAACTATATTTTTCTTCGATCACATAAATATATAGCACTTAAACTGTTACTTTTTCTAGTAAGCCAGTAAGGTGGTAACTGGTAATATGATTGTTTCATGTACTCATTATTTTATTGGCAAGTACATATATATGTTCAACAAAACTTGATCCTAAATAGATATAGTTTAAATTCTACTTTGAACAAAAATGGATACTACTAAAGATTTGTATGTTCTGTCTGGAAGAGTTTTTGGAGAGTTGACATTGATATGTAAATGAAAAGATAATCCCGATAATTAGGGGATTTCTTACATGATTAATAAAAGAAAAAAACTTAATTATACGTTGGCCCAAGGATTCAGCATAGATTTAAAAATGGTTTGGCCACATGCAGAGAGATCCATGCATGTGAATTGTTTTCTATACAATTACAAATCTTACAACGCATCTACGATTCATTCCTTACGTGACATTATCCCATTCTTTTAAACTATAACAAAACAAATTCTTAATTTAGATGATCTGATTCACGGGCTACATTATTTTTACTAGGCGACAAAATTTACCCACAAATTTTGGACTCGCCTCCATACAATACTTCTCTCGTAAAGTACAACAAATTGTTAGATTTTGTATTCCCACTTAATGTTTTTAACGAATTATATTCTAAAGTTTTTGTATTAGTACTTTGACAGAACTATTTCAAATCATCGTATATACTTGCCAACTATATATAACACCCTTTATATATATGTTACCGACTCTCAGAATATGTCATGAAAGGACAAATCTATGCCATAAGGAGATCAATATATATTAAAATTCATCAATCACGGACATAACAGTTAACACAGTCGCTTTTCTTGTGGAAAGCTGAGATCTTAACAGTTAAAACGTAAACCAAGATTTAGTTTATCTAAACTAACAAGATCGGTTGTATCAATCCTGTAGGTACGACATAGACTGCATCAATGTAGATTCTCGTTTAGACAAGTTTTTAACTGGTCTGCAATGAATGGTTTATGATTTTTATATGTATCAGTAGGTCTTTTGCTTTCGAGTTTTGACATTTAAAAGAGGAAGATAGTTAAACATGTTTTAAACTTTTTGAAATATACGTGCATGCATGGCTTGTGAAAAACGTTTTATCCCCGTGGTTAATAGAAAGCTACTAGTAAGAAAATAAATATCTTTGACATGAGTAGACATATAATTTTTAAGTCTTTGGTTCTGCATAGCACACATCGCCTGACATGATCTGTAATCTATATTTTGTTGCGTAATTTAATTTAATAATACATTTTTGACCACTACCATTATTTTGATATTGATTAATACATAAAACATAAACTAGCTAGCTAGCTTTGGACCTATCTACAACAATTTGATTCTCTTTTTCTCTATTTCCGTGTTTGCTATGGACAATATCTAAAGCTACAATATAGATAGGTATAGACAAAAATACTATATATTCCAAAACATTTTGCCTAAATTCCTCATGTAACAACATATGGACCCAATCATCAAAGGAGCAAGATAAGAGGAAGGATCTCTTTCTATCTTTGTGGGTTTTCAGAAAACTGAAAGTGCCTATTTAGTCAAATGATAATGATAACTTCCTTCGTTAGTTGTCTCAAATGGTAATCAAACAAGGCTGTGCCAATATACATCCTTTGTTGTCTCAAATAACTCGTAGAAATGCTAACAACCCACTCCATCAGAAGATTAAAGTAAAACACAATTCTAAAATAGGCTATAACATATTTGGTTATATAAACGAATAAGTCTTAAACTATTTACTTCTTATGACCAAGTGACAATATTGTAATCATATTATATAGTCTCAACTTCAATCATCTTACTCGCAATTTGACACGTTCATATCATCACGGATGATGATAATGATCGAGAACAATTTTATAATAGAGAAAATAAATATCTTTGAGATTTGTTTTTTCTATAAAAGGAAGAAGTCACTTAACAGTTTAACGCACTTCATTACCTGTTCACAAACCCGAACCCTAAACCTCAACATGGGTCTTCTACACAAGCAAAACCTCACCTTTGTGATACTCCTCCTCCTCGGTCTCCTCGTCGTCTCTTATGCTTGTGACTGTAGTGACCCTCCTAAACCTTCTCCACACCCCATTAAACCGCCTAAACATCCCGTTAAACCGCCTAAGACCCCCACTGCCAAACCACCTACTCACACCCCAAAACCACCCACCGTTAAACCACCTCCTCATACCCCAAAACCGCCCACCGTGAAGCCTCCACCTTCATGCCCTCCACCTCCTCCCACTGTGAGGCCTCCACCACCCCCTACACCGTTTACTCCACCTCCTCCCACTGTGAAGCCTCCACCACCACCCACCGTGATGCCACCACCACCTCCAGGTCCAACACCAGAGACGCCATGCCCTCCACCACCCCCTCCACCAACCCCATGTCCACCTCCACCTCCACATCACGTACCAACACCTAAACCAGAGACTTGTCCAATCGACGCACTGAAACTAGGCGCGTGTGTGGACGTGCTAGGTGGCTTGATTCACATCGGACTAGGGAAAACTTACGCTAAGGCAAAGTGTTGCCCACTTCTTGGCGACTTGGTTGGTCTTGACGCAGCGGTTTGTCTCTGCACCACCATTAGAGCGAAACTTCTCAACATTGACCTCATTGTTCCCATCGCTCTTGAGCTTCTTGTCGACTGTGGTAAGACTCCACCACGTGGCTTCAAGTGTCCAGCTCCCGTAAACAGGGCTCCTGCCTTGGGTTGATCTCTTTTGTGTTAAAAAATTTGATACGATAAAAATTATCAAGATCTAGATTCTTCTCTTTATGTTTTGCGATAGCGAAAAGAGCAATTTAAAGGATCTAAATATCGTTATACATTTCTCTAAAAAATTTTATGTAATTGTAAGGTGATTATGTACGTTGAAATAATGTTATACGAAACTCGATTTTTAAAAGGACAAATTCACTACGGCAGTGGTCATTAATCGACGTGTACATGTGGTGTATGTCGTCTTTGACGACCTTCAATTCTCCCATACTAAGTCAGTCAAAATAGACATATAGTATGTATTCTTATATAGACAATTAGAATACAACCAAAAAGATGGCCCTGTCCCGTTTTAAGATTCCAAGGAGTACAATAACAAAGAGTTCGTGTCACATAGAATGTGGTGATATCTTTGATCACCGTCACCAATTCAACGCCCTATGTATCTTTGCGTTATCTTATGAATTTTTTTCCCTTGCTTTGGATTGTTTATTTGTATTATTTCCAAAATACTATTATGTAGCCAATAAGGTTTTCGAGAAAAATAATATTTTTAATAATGAAGAAATATAGATTTTGATAGGTTTTGTTAATTATCATAGAAAATCTAAAATTATTTTTTATTGGTCTTTGATTTCTGAACGTGAGATGAAATTTTTTTTCCTTTCCTTTTTAGGTTTTTGAAAATTTTAAAGACAAAAGTCAAAATCCAAAAGTCAAAATTCACTTTTACATGTGCAAACATTCATGGCCTTAGCGATATTAAAAATTGCAAGTGAATTAATATTTGATCAAAGATATTTTCTACACCTTGAATGGTTGTTGTTGTAGAAATCGTTTTTGGTTTTACTTTCGGCTACTGGACTCTCGCCATCTAGGGTGCGGGAGCTGCCTGGTAATCCCTAGGTTGCAGCACGTCCGGTCGTTAACTGAGATTTTGAGAAAGGAAGATTTTCTATAAAATAAAAAATTTAAATTGAGTTTCAAGAGGTTTTACTAATTCCTTTAAGAAAATCCATAAGTCTGTTTCAATGAGCTTTTGAGTTTTTCTTCTAGGAAGTTTTTGTCTTTAATTTTCCATTTTTTTTTTTTTTAAATTATCATTCAAAATCTAAAACTTATAACTAAAATTTATTATCTAAAACCTATTTAAAATCTCCTAAACATTCATCAGAATTTGACGCCGGCCTTATAATATCATAATTAATATGTAACAAAAATTTTATTGGTTGCAAGTTCTCTGACATGTGCATTATCAAACAACTATCTACGGAAGAATAATTGTTTCATCAGACTTTCAATTGTAAGTTTGATTTATGTGTCTAAACGTGATGACATAGTATTATTCACCTTATAAAACATTTGCGCAGAAATCACACAATTTGACAATCAAAGTTGATAAGCATCATAGCATCCATGAAAGAAGAAGACATTTATGGAGTGAAATTTTTATTTTTGATTATGTCATAGCTGAACACTACAAGAAAAACATGAAATTCCTACGACCGTTTGGGTAAAAATATGGTAGGAAACAGACGTTTCTTACCAAATTCCTACCAAAAAAATGGTAGGGAATCGCCCGTAGGAAATCGAAGATGGAAAGATTATGGTAGGAAATTTCCTACCAAAATCGTGCCGAAGGAAATTGTGAAGGTAACCTTGAAGGAAAAGGGAAGGGTAGTTCTGACGTGTTTCCTACCACTAGTGGGAAGGAAAAACGATACCTTCTAATTTCCTTCTAAACGCTTTCCTTCCAATTTCCTTCGAAACCACGTTTCATTCTACTTTCCTTCGAAACTATTTCCTTCTGTTTTCCTACGAAAATTTAATTCCTTGTAATTTCCTACGAAATGTTTCATTCCAGTTTCCTACAAATTTCCTTTAGCTTTCCTTCAAACGTCGACCCTGCAACATTCCTTCGGATACTTTGGTAGGAAATAATAAATATCCAATAACTAAATTATTCTCGTTTTCATCGATTGTTAATTATATAATTCACCAAAAAATATATTTAAAACGATTTAGATAACAGAAAAGTATTTTACACAAACGTCAATATTACAAACAAAGTTTAGAAAAGCAAATCATCTAAAACAGAGACAAACAACCATAAAACCATAAAAATGTTGAAGATTTTTTGAAAATTAGAAATTATTACTCTTGAGTCTCATCGTCGTCATCTTGAGGATTCTCCGGAAAAGTAGGTGGCCGCAGATCAGGAAAGCGTTGGAAGAGAAGCTTGTTGCATTCCATTAGATACTTGATTTGAAGA